TTGCAAGTGTAGTCATAGAAGGAGGTGATGTCCACTGCCTATTAGACCATGTTGGAGAAACGTGTTGATGTTGAAGAGGCATGGAGAATTTGTAAAGTTGCTTGTTGGTGCATCCAAGATGATGGGAATGATAGGCCATCAATGGGTTAGGTAGTTCAGATCCTCGAAGGGATTCTAGATGTGAACCCGCCTCCAATTTCTCGTTTTCGTCAAGCCCTTGTCAACCTGTAAGAGCGTACAGTTTTCTCATTTCTTCATTGAGTTCTTTCCAGTCGGAATTCACAACTATAGAGCAATCCTTATGCATGTGTAGTTTCAAATCAAACAATAAAACAAGTATGTCCTTGCGCACTTCTTTATCCTCTTTTAACTACTGTATATATATTATGCTATTTTACAGAAGCCTTAAGACCCATGGTGGTGTAAGGCTTCTTTTGTTAGTTTCTATATATTGTTACTTGTATATTCATTGGTATTAGTGTTGTTTCATTGTTTTAGTCAATGTGTTTGGTATGGTTTTCCTTTAGAAAGCATTTAATTTTTTCATGTAGGTACTTTTCAAAATTGCAAGCATTTTTTTTTTTTTGAGAAATTAAAAAAAAGGATGCTCTGTGGGACATTATAACATCTGTGGCTCTAATCCTGGATAACCGGTTATCGGTCAGATTTAACTCAAGTTAAAGGAAGGGACACACCATTGGAGCATACAGATGGACCTCACCCACCTATTACACAGGAGGCAAAGTGTCGATTGAAGTGCAGCGCGATGAGCCGAAGCAAATTGGCACCTCTGAGAATAGACCCTTGCTAGGCTGGGTGGAGGGGAGATGTGTAATCCATTGGGCCACCACTCCTAATGGTTTTCAAAATTGTAAGTTTGTGAAAGCAAAATAAGCCCCCAAGGGTTGGAGAAACCGTACATAAACCATATACAAAATATGATATTTTGTAGTGTTGAATATTATAAATGTCATAATTAAATAATTTTCAGGTTTAACTAAAAAAAAAGGAATCATAACCAAACATTTCATAATATATAATTAAAGAATTTTTAGATCATAACCAAAATAATAATCATAATAGGTTATAATTAACATCATAATGAATTATAATTAATATCATAATAAGTCACAATCAAGTCATAATAACTAACACTATAATATGGCATATGTAACGCCCTCAAAAATTAACCCATTATATATATCATTGACATGCATTATTTAAAGAAAACACTTTAATAATTCATTATAATATTCATCAGAGTCTTACTAAATAAAATCATTACATGTAACATCAAATAAAATGCCCTAACGGCTTACATCTTTCCAAGCCAACACTTGGACACAAAAGTATGAGTTCTAACTCAAATATAAATAAAGCCCTAGGCTTGAGTGTTTACATGTACTAACAATGAAAAACAAATAACTAGAAATAGTCTTCAAAATCCAAGTCCTTCTAAGCTAAGTCCTTGGAGGTAGCTTACCACCTGAACCTGAAAATGATGTTCCCATATAGGGTGAGCCACAGCCCAGTAGAAATATACTAAACCAAATATAAGCATTGAATAAAGCAATAGCATTCAATAGATGGTTAACCAAGATAATCAATTACATCATTATACAGTTTCATGACATTAATGTCAATGACACGTTTTACTTTCCAACATTATCAATATGGCTCAGAACCTGGCCAAACTTACAACAGTGAACTATATATATATACCATATTCACATTCTCCCAATGTCAACAAACAAATGAGACTCAAGCTCAAATCAAAACACTTCATACTTCCAGTTTGATACACATTTTAGTGCTGTATCAATAGAAACACTTCAATATAAATAAGCACACATAAAAGTGATGCTAATGGAGTCCATCCCCTATCTCCTCCCAAACACACTTCAATACACATAATGGAGTCCATCCCCTATCTCCTCCCAAACAAAACAATATATGTAAACACATAACATATACAACACACAATCAATACACATAATGTCTGTATCAATTCAGCAGTCAAAATTGATGACTTAAACAATGATTAGTTTCAGTTACCCCTAATCCGCATGCAGTGTCTACAACAATCACGGCTATCCTCCATCGATAGCCCAAAACAGTTATTTCTAAACTGAAAATAAATATATCAACAATTCAATAGGCGAGTGATTTAAATTATCAAACTACACCATTTAATCAATGAATTCCTCAATTTCATGAATTTAACCAAATTCCCCAATTCCCTTAAATTAATTATACAAATTAATTAATTAATACAACTAGGATTTTTCCCGAAATTATCAAAGTAACCCCAACATATTAAAATGCCAGAACTTAGAACAAAACGTATATATTGGAGTAGGAAATCCCTACCTCGAAGAAATAGCCCAAAAAGAGAAGATGGAGATGAAGACCCCAAACTCCAAAGTGCTCCAAACCACCAACAATTCAGATTAAATGGAAGCCCTCGACTCACTCTATCTTTTTAATAAAGGATCTAAGGTAGAAACCCACTCTAAGTAGATCAATCCTAAGAGAGAAGGTGTGTAGAGAGAGAGAAAAGTCGGACCTAGGGTTTGGAAGATGAAAAAGACTGATCAAAACCCGCTGCTGTGTATATAAACTGAATAGGCTCGCTCGAGCGAAGACATGGTCGCTCGAGCGACCAGACACAAGAGAACATCGCTCGAGCGAAGAAAAGCTTGCTTGAGCCAAGAATGCAATGCTTCAGGTCTGCAACCCTGGTGCACGCTCGAGCAACAGAATTCTCGCTCGAGCAAGGAACTCAAAAACATACACCTCGCTCGCTCGAGCGAAGAAAAGCTCGCTCGAGCGAAGAAAAGCTCGCTCGAGCGAATAAGCCCTGCCCTCAGGTCTAAACCAGACGCAGTCACTCGCTCGAGCGAAACAAAGCTGGATCGAGCCAGAAGACACAAAATACAACCCTTGCTCGAGCGACCAATCCCTGGCTCGAGCGACCAACCCAAAAACTGGACAGCAACACTTGGTTTACGAACCCAACCAACCTGAAACAAACTTGCCCAGCACATCCTATAACTCCACATGAGAAAATAGAGGACGACAACAACAATTATACAATGACAGAATAAACGGAACCTAAGCCCGGATACAATAATCAAATGGAAAAAAAAAAACCGGGGTCGCTATAGCATAACCAAATACTACAAAAGTCATAATTGAGGCATATGGTGAACATTGCAAAATGTGGTGTATTATAGAATTTCTCATTATATATATAGGAAAATTTAGCTAAAATTCCTTCATTGGATCCTTGTTTAGTGAAAATGACAGCTCAATTTGTTTTGTTTCATAAATCTCTTAAAGAGAAAACACATAATTAAGTAAGGGCAAAATAATTTTTTTTTTCTTGAATAATATTGTCAAAGTAACATTTTATTGTGAATCAGAGTAACATATTACTGTGAGACAAAGTAACATATTATTGCCAAATAGAGTAACTACCAAATAAAGTAACATGTTACTGTGAGACAGAGTAACATGTTACTGTTATAGTTTATATCAATTTGGACAGTAATGTTTTATTTTTAATTTTTTTATATAGTCAATATAGATCTTATTTGATAGATTTTGATGAGAGAATTTTAAAAATACTAATTTATTAAAAATTGACATCTACATCAAAAGTTATATTATTTTAAAATTTAATATTTTGATAATAATGATATATGTTGGACTTTTCAAGAAAAACTTTTTGTGTTTGTTCTTAATTCATTAAAGTTTTATTATAAAAGAGTTTTGACCAAATCTCCATATATATATATATTTGTAAATATAAACAGAAAATTAAAAATGTAAGTGTTACCAAACAGTACCTAAGCAATGGGTTTCGACTATTTTGGGGACTTTGGTTTTTAGTCAAAAAAACATTACAAGTTATCAAATTGTCTTTTATTTTTTTATACGTCTTTTTGTAAAAATTTAAAAAGTCAATTAAAACAGTCAATTTTCAAATTGAGGCTAAATGATTCAAACATTTTTTCTATCAAGAATGCAACTAGGGCGTGGAACCAAGAATTTTGTTTAGGAGGGGTCAATGTATATGCATAAATTATATTGAATTAGTTTTGATGGATTATTAATTGAATATAATTTTTTATATAAGCGTTGCGAAAAAAGTAGTTCTCAAGAAAACTAAATAAGTCCAATAAATTCTTTTTTCAATTTTGAATTATTATATCTCAGTATGCAATCAGTTAAATTAGTCAAAATCATCTTATTATACATTTTATACATATTCATAAATATAAAATTAATAACAAATTGTCGAAAATAGGAAGGGATTGGAGTCCCTCTTGGTCCTTACACAGTTCTGTCCATACATGCAATCTAATTAAAACTTTTATTCATAAATTTATTAAAGAAAGTTTAATATGTGATCTAAATTCATTTTAAATATAGACACTACTACGTAAAAATTGAATTTAGATTATACATTAACTTTTATAATAAAATTCTGAATAGATTAATTAAATGATACAAACACTGCTGGAAATCGGGCTTTTAGCGGCGTTTTAAAAACGCCGCGATATCTATCAAAAACGCCGTTAATTCATTTTGTGGCGTTTAGTACCAAACGTTGAAGCTGCGGCCGTCGTTGTAGCTTTGCGACGTTTTAAAAACGTCGTGATATTAGTATAGGAGGCGTTTTAAAAAACGCCGCAAAATGTCCCACCATACACACGCTGACGTCACAAACGATATTTAGCGACGTTTTTGAAACGCCGTTGTATCTGTGTAAAAAATATGGCCGTTACTATTGAGGGTTTAGGAGGCGTTTGTAGAAACACCGTCATATCTTTTTTTTAAAAAAATTGTGCTAATTTTATTTGATTAAATTAAAAAGAATACCTGTAAGAAAATATTGAATTTGGTTTCTCATTCAATTAATAAAAAAATACTTGTAATAAAACTAACATACAAAATATTAACTCCCATTCAAATACCTGTAATAAAACTGACAGATAAAATAATAACTCCCATTCAAATAACAAATAAAGCATTAATTCAGTTTCTCATTCAATTAATATCGAATCACCATTACCCACAAAATAACATATCCAAATCCAAAAATCATGTTTTAACATTGTCCATGTAGCTTTTGCCAGAAGGAAACAAACTGGGAGTGATTCCAGCTCTATGAAACATACTGGGTTGTCTCCTATCCTTGAGTGATTCCAGCTCTATGAAACATACTGTCCATGTAGCTTTTCCCTATTGCCTGTTTGATAAAAGTGTCAAGTGAATCAATTGAATGTGCTCCAGATTAATATAAAAATGAATCAAAACCCCAGTCAAACTGCTAGAATGTGCTAGAACTACAATACCATATGCTTGTCAATAATTTCAAGGGCTTTCTCATAATTTCTCGGCAGCTTAACATTTCCCACAATTTGTTTGGCATATGAGCCCTTTCTATAGTTTTCATATATAAATAGAAGACTCCTGCAAAGCATCAAAAGATGAAATAATAATAATAAATAAGATGATTAGAGATATGCATTCAATTATGTGCAGACATTGACATCCCATCACATGTACAAATGATTCATTGAGACAATTAGACAGCATAAGATCCATTAACACTTCCTACATAAATAATATAAAGATGGCATGTGCCAAATTTCAGTGTGAAAGAGTTTCAAACCCCAAAAAAATAGATATCAAAAAATGCTAAGGGCTAGAGTAGTCTAGAAGTTGCAAACCCCAGAAACACCAAAAAATCTTGTTTTACCATACAAAATAAATACCAACACTCGAAAGCCTAGCTTTTTCTCATGATTTAATAACAATCTGTTTCATAGCCTGCCTCAACTTTGTTTCCGCTCCATTTCATAGAACAATGGAATTGATGAACAACAATAACAAAGAATAATGTAACCACTAAACCATTTACATTCAATTAGATACCATTTGTTCACTTGGGTGAAGGATCCTCAGGACACAAAAAACCATGTAACTATTACCTCTCATAACATTGTCTGAATAAAACAAGATATCTCACAACAGTAACAGGTCTCTTAAGCTCACCACCATGCCACATAGAGTAGTGTTCATTAACTCTATATGAATCTATATAACTTAAAATATAAACAAATCACAAAAGATCAAGGATCCTTATGCCACCTTTTTTCCAAAAAATAAATAAATAAATCCAAAAACAACCAGCACATCAGCCATTGTTGCTGTCAATGTCTTATCTTCACCTTTCAAGTTATCACACTCATTTTATATGGAAAGAAAACAACTATGTCAGGGATATAACACATCGCTAAAACATCAAACATGTGTTCGCAGACAGGCTGACAAACACACACACGCGCACACAGCACAACTGCAGAGGAAAATGTTTACCTGACTAATATCCTCCAGAAAAAACCTTTCTAATTCCCCAGAAAGATTTCATAGACCTAGCCGTTTTTGAATGACTTCTCAAATGTGCATGTTCTCAGCATAAAGAAAACCAGCAACAAATGTGAGTGTTCATGTGAGACTATATGATGAGGAATAATGCAGCTGCAGTTGCCTTGCCTAATAATGCAGCTGCCTTGCCTAATAATGCAGCTGCAGTTCATTGATGCAGCTGCCTTGCCTAATAATGCAGCTGCAGTTCATTGATGCAGCTGCCTTGCCTAATAATGCAGCTGCAGTTCATTGATGCAGCTGCCTTGCCTAATAATGCAGCTGCAGTTCATTGATGCAGCTGCCTTGCCTAATAATGCAGCTGCAGTTCATTGATGCAGCTGCCTTGCCTAATAATGCAATTGCCTTGCCTAATAATGCAGCTGCAGTTCATTGATCAGCAAAACTCATGACATCAATTTTGGAAGACAAATGTTCTTGAATAACTGAGGATTCTCAAGAATGTGTTGTCCATGAAAATCACAACAAAATCAACACAACATACAAGCACTTGCTGAGAACATAAAGATATACATACTTACAAATTGCTAACTTTGTCCTGAGTATTTCATCGTTATGAATTTTAATACATCAAACAACCATGTAATTGCAGTGTAACTTCTTTTCATGATATTTGCATTTTATGTTGTGATAACCCAGAATGAGATTCTCATTCTGCCTTAATATTCCAGCCATCCAAACATAGTTGAGAAAGCTCAAAAATCATTATAGGACATTCAAACATATTATTCCAGGTTAACACTATCTCAGAAAACTCAAAGGGTGATTAATTATAAGGTTGACTTTTTATTTTGTAAGACCATATGCTTGTAAGTCATGCACTGAACAGACTATACATTTCAACATATTTTGAGAAAATATCTTTGAAAAAATCACACATACTCTACACACACAAACACACCTAAACAAACCCACACAACACAAGCTCTTCTAAAAACATAAAAACCATAAACAGAGAGAGTGTGGACAAAAACAGTCAAGCATAGCAGTCTAACCATGGCAGTCATGAACAGTCTAGCACCTAAGCATAGCATTCTTGCATCAAGCAGACAAAGTTCGACAAAAACAGCAGCGAACTGTCAAATTTATCTAGTGATAGCATGCACATTGGACTACTTGCAGCTGCAGCTCATGCTGCTGCTACTAATAGCTGTTTCACTAATGCTGCTGCCTTACAAATCAAATGAACATAAACCACGAACTAGTGATATTAGTACGTTTACCTTGTTAGTTCTTCTTCTTCTTCTTATTCTTCTTCTCTTTCTTTGAAAGGTGAACCTATATTTAATAAGAGCAAGTATTGTAATTAATAAGATATGTTATTTGTCAAAAAAGCTTTGATTAAATGATTGCTCACCTCTTGGGATGAAAATGCATGAGATTGTTGTTGATGTGACATTGGCCGAACAGTGGGATGACTACTAAGTGAATCCACAACCTATCATTCAATAAGAGACTTAAGTTGTATATTAACTCTAGGCAATTTAAAGTAATACTCTTTGGTTCAGATTAAGAAAACCGTGACACAAATCGAGTCGAACTGTAGCATGAGGCCCACGGGCGCGTCTCAACACAAATAGTCTAGACAAGGAGGTAGTTACAATATGTTCTGGTTTCTACAAACTGTCTAGATAAAAAAGAATGAGAGGCACCAGTATCAAAAAGTACCTCTAAATGGGTTCCCCTGAAAGAGATTAAAGTACCTTGCACTTTGTCAATTCTTGCGCATCACTACAAATGCCCTGGCTGAGCTGCCTGACATGTGTCGCCTACTGTCTGAGGGCAATCTTGATTACATGCCCCAACTGTTGACACCCAAAACACTTCATATTAATCGGTTTGAGGTGCTAGTGGTCTGATAGGTGAGGGTCCCCTCTTCAACTGAGGTATGAGAGGACGATAACCCAACTTTGGCAAAACTTGCTTGCCGCTTGTCCTTGATAACCCTGTAGGCGCGGACCACCCTTGTCTCTGATAATAGTGGCCCTGCGGGCTGGAAATTTGCCCTAAGGCTGAAATACCCTGAGGTCTGAAATTTTCCTTGACTACCTGCCTTGCTGTGGCCTCTGAAACTTGCTGACCTTATGCCTGTTGATCATAGGATCAGGTATCTGTTCCCATTTTCCATTGCTGCGAAGTGACTCACTCTTAGAAGTCTCTCCGACCCTTGCCTTCCATTCTTTAAAAACTGCTTCTCATTTCCTCATACTTCAATGCCAAGTCAAGAACTTCTGTCAAACGGCTCAACATCAAAGGGAATAAGGGACTTAGATAGGCTATTGATTCAATGCCTTTATAAACTCTTATTTCTTCTTCTCCTGTGTGTCGACCAAGTAAGAGGCATAACGAGACAACTCATTAAACTTGGTGACAACTCGATCACTATTCTACCCTTCTTGAGTCAACTTTCGAAAATTCATTCACTATAGTTTGAGAACTGCATAGCAGCAGGACAAACTTCCGGTCAAAACGGAGTCTTGAAATCTGCCCCAGTCAAAGTCGTTAAATCTAGACCCTCCTTCACGAGTTCCACCAAGAAGGCTGCTCCTTAAGATGATGTGTCAGCAACTCCTTTTTTTGAGCCTTAGTGAGTGTAACGACCCAAATACCATCTTCGCCATTTCTGAACCCAAGCGTCTGCTTGCAATGGGTCCTCATCTCCAGAGAATTTTTGACCTTCCAAAGAACCAAAAACCTTTGTTTCTCTTCGCAAAGGGATCTCCCTACTGGCCTTGATATTGTTCTAAACAACCTGAAGTAACTGAGCCGTCATCTCCACCACATTAACCTGCACCGTATGGTAGCCTGATAGTAGTTGCCGCTGCCGCTATGTTAGCAGTAAGTTTCTTCCCTTATGGCATTGGGCTTAGCACTTCTCAAATTATACCTTCCAGCCATACCTTTAAGTAAACACTAGGGAAGGAATTCGCTTCAAGAATAAAATTCAACCACTAAGCCGTAAACCAACTACCCATTTTCTACAATTCGGGATCACCTAAACTCTCACAAGTCTAGGATAACCTAGAGCTCTAATACCAAACTGTCATGCCCAAAATTTAGACAATTTAATATTAAATGAGGACTAAACCCAATCAATATTCCATTCATCAAAACCCTAGGGGTGAAACAAAAAACTAAACGCCAACCAAACATCCACCATAATCTCATAACTATCTAATACCTCCAAACATTAAAGTAATAATAAATAGTCAAATAACTTAAATTAATGTATGGTTACAAACCATGCAATTATCCCAGCTACTAAAGTCATTAATTCAAAAAAAATAATAAATATATAAACTAATATCAATCCTAAGCTCAAGAAAACAAAAGAATCCAAACGACAAAGTCCAACAACTATAGTTATTTCTACGTCACCACCGTAGCCCCAACTAACCGTGCAAAGGAAGCATGACTGCCCTCAAATTTAGAACGCCCGAGTTGCCAAGAGACAAAAACGGGTCAATATAACAGGTTATACTGGTATGACTACAAGATTTAACTCCATGTGTCCACCGACACAAACAAAAATACATTTAATTCTTGTTACGATAAAGACAAATAGTTTCCAACAGCACTGAGGGACGAATAGATAGGTTCTCGAGATACTGGTGGGCCATTTACTTTCTTGCCCATAACAACGAGAATATAAATTGATTATAAAATATAAAAAAAATAGAATAAAAATTGGTGAGTCAACCCTGCATAAAAAAGGCTAATAAGACCCCACCATCCTGCAAAAAAATAAAGTTAGTATAATTTAATCATAAGTAACTTGCTAAAAAAGTATAAAAATACACGTTTCTCAACGAGTTCCCAAACCCCAATTTTGTTCAACAAATCAGAACTCTCTGTGGTAGCAGTTTTTGGTGATGATGGTAATTTGATTTTGAGAGATTGGCGTCTAATTCAACACAACCAATTTGCAAAGTTTTGGTTACCTTGTTCGCACTTGGTTGGCCCGGTAGCAAGATTTCAATATAACAGCGAGCCAATACACACCAAAGTCTAACTTCATGGAAGAACTCCAAAGACCTCTTCACTAGGACTATTTTCTCGTTATTCTAGATGCAAATAATAGCTATTGGTTTGTTGTGGAATGCGGTCTAAACAGTATTGGACTAGTGGTCCGTGGAATGGGAGATTTAGCTTATTTTACCGACAAGAAGACAAAATTAAATGTTTAAATTAGCTTTGTTGACAATGAAAATGAGAGTAATGAAATATTTCCCTGTGATCCTTACATTTATGTTAGAGTTTTGCCCATGGATGTTTCTGGGCAACTCAAGCAAACTCACTTGGTTGTGAGGGTACAAGGAGTGGAATTTGTTTTGGGCTCAGCCGGAACAACAATGCGCGTTAGCTTATGCGGGCCATTTGGAACTTGCAATTCAGAATACACAACCCTTCTGTAATTGTTTGACGGTTCCAATTCTTAAGTCGGGCATGATTGGTATTTGGCGTGATTACTCTGGGTGGGTGTGTAAGGAGAACCCAAGTTACAGTGTGAATGCCAGTGCTGCTAATCAAGGAAAAAAAGGTTTCAAGAGTATTCAACATGAGATTGCCTGAACATCCTTAATCTTGTTGGCTTCTAGCAGTGCTACGGAATTGTGAATCTTCTTGCTTGAAAAACTGCTCTTGCACTGCTTATGCTTATGATGGAATGGGTTGTTCAATTTGGACTATTAGACCTCGTTAACCTGCAACAACTTTTGGAAAGACGTAGTGCGGAAGCAGTCTTTATCTCAGACTTGCTGCTTCTGAGTTTTCCGGAGATAATATATGGGGATTATTATTGGTATTGTGGTTCGTTGAGTAGTCTTGGGCCTTCGTTTATTTATGTGGAAAGCAACAAAGGAGGCTTATAGCAACCCTTGTTGCTTTGGCCAAACAGTTGTTGGTTGAGCTTTCTAGGAAAAGATTCGAAATAGATGCCCAGTTTATGGTTCATTGAGTTGCATTTAGATACAAAAGATTTGCAAAAGCAACCAAAATTTTCTCGCCGAGAAAATGGGGAGCGGAGGTTTTGGTTCTGTTTTCAAAGGACATTTGTCGGATTCCACTTTCATAGCTGTTAAAAAAGTTGGAAAAGCATCAAACCAAGGGAGAGAAGCAATTCGAGCAGGAAGTCAACACACTTGGGCCACCATCCAAATATTTATCTTGTTCGCTTCGTGGGTTCTGCTCTTAAAAGGTAATAAGAAGTTACTGGTGTTATGATTACATGCAAAAATGGCTCATTAGATTCCCATCTTTTCCATGGAAAGGAGCGAAGGTACTGACAAGGGAAGACAAGGTACCAAATTGCATAGGACAGCCAGGGCAGTTGGCTTTCTTCATGAAGGGGTGCCGAGACTGCATTGTACACCGTGACATAAAGCCACAAAAACATTCTATAGATGTTGAATTCTGCACAAGTATCAGATTTTGGTTTAGCAAAGCTTATTGGATGAGAACTGAGCCTTGGTCGGACGCTCACCCTTTGAGTTGTATGTAGGGTACACTCAGTCACATCTTGCGATGCATTGTGTATGTAGGAGTAGGCCCTATATTACAGTTCCAAAGCGGTAGATGGTGTACAGTTTACTGGTAAAACTACGCTGCTTTTTGATATAGAGATTATATCAGGAAGTTTTGTTCTAAGTCTCTAGAGCACTCAGTTGATTAATCTATACTCGGGATGGGGTTACTGAAGCAAGATTGTGCGAGGTGTATTTAAAATTCTCAACCTAACTATTTTAATTAATAATATAATTAAATTTAAGGGAGAATTGGGGGAATATTTAGTTTTTAAATATTCATGTTAAATGTGTGTAGTTGAGATTATGCAGTTTTGTACATATCCACTCGCCTTATTGATTGATGTGGTCAAGTTGTAGTCATATTAGAATTGAAGGTTGTATGTCGACCTGTCTTATTAGACCAATGTATTCTGTGTAGAATTACGTGGTGTGCTATGTCATGATAGAGGGCATGAGAGTAATGTTCTACCAGTGTGTTGTTGTAGACTCGTCATCCCAAGATGATGTGGACCATGGATTTAGAGCGAGGTCAACATGGGGTATTAGGTAAGTTCAAGATCCTCGCAAGGGATTCTTAGTGATGTTGATATTCCTCGAACGTCAATCTCATTCTCAGTTTTTCATAGCCCTTGCTGCAACCATGATAGAAGTAGATTACGAGTCTTATTCTACTAGTTTCGATCATTGGAAGTTCTTTGCCTATGCGATATGATTTCATCAAATCATAAGAGCATAGTGTTCTTTATCGACTATGTGTTTAGTTTCAAATATCGATATTGGACAATAAGAGACCAAGGTATATAGGTGGTGCACGCTCACGTCATCTTCCATTTATGCCTGTGCTTTTAGTGATAACGTGTGTTTGTGGTATGAGGAGATTAGGTGCTTGAATTGTGTCAGAGCTCTTAATGACCAGACGCGAGATCGTAGTCT